TTAAAAACTTTTAACTAATAAATAAATAAAATTGACATAATATATAACAAAGATATATGTTAGATATAGATATAACACTATCCCATAATATCTAAATTAACTAACGGGTGTTCAAAAAGGTACGCAAAAAGTTTATAAATTATAATTCAAAAACTACAAAAGATAATTTAATGGAATAAAAAGAATTTTGAAGATAAAAGTATGGGATTTAATATAAAATATAGTCAAAATGTTTGCCACCCATTTCAACCAGGCTTTCGAGCCGTAAACTAAATTTATTGCCTCCGCAGACTATCATATCGTTGGACTCAATTACATAGACATTGACTAATTCTAATGTAAACAAAGGTTTAAAATCAATGACTAACAACTCATTTGCACATCAGATGAAAATTATTTTATTATGCCAAACAAAATCCCATACATTTACCTTTAATTTACATTTGATTTGATCCAGATATCTTTTGTAGTTTTTGAATAATAAATTTTAAACTTATTGCGTACCTTTTTGAACACCCGTTAGTTAATTTAGATATTATGGGATAGTGTTATATCTATATCTAACATATATCTTTGTTATATATTATGTCAATTTTATTTATTTATTAGTTAAAAGTTTTTAAAATTGTTTTCATATACTCTACTCGATCGTAATTAAAAAGCTTAAATTAACAAATTATTAAAATTTAACACTTGTGTTTCATAATCATAATTATATAATTATATAAAAGTATATTAAAAAGTATAAAATATATTTAATTAAAGCAATTTTTACAATATTTTTATTTAAATTTTAGATTTACAGCAATTAAATTACAATGGCAACCAAAAACTAATACCTTGCTAAACTCATCGGCTAATAAATTGGAAATTTTATTGCAATCAATGGTGTCGTACCCTGAATGGCATCGGAGACCGGAGTGTCGGGAAGTGTTGTCCAAATATAACGAGTGGTCTATCGATAAGAATATTCTAATAAAAGATCCGGAATTTCAATCCACATTAGATAGACTCAAATCAGACAACACATTTTTCCATGATTTTTTTAAAATTTCTACCATATCACCGCGCAAATATATCAAAATTCTGTAAAAAGTGAGCTTGTTGCAGTACAGCCATTAAATATTGTAATCAATATTCTTAATATACATTATATTACCTATTAATATTATTTTATTCATTCAGTCTGTTTATAGTAACTATTACATAATGTTACAAAGAGTATTTAGCCAGTCAAATTGTGGCCAAGTGAGCGTTTATTAAATTTATGACATTAAATTTTTAATTAAGCTTATTTTAGTATTTTGGTATTTCATCGCAAAGTTATTTATTTAAATGTCGCTAAATAGGTTCTGAAAAATAAATGTAACTAAATTTCATAATTAATGAACAATATACTGTATTAACATACTGTATTAAAATATTGTACTAGTAATGATACTATTATTTATAATATGATTGGTTATTACATTTAGCATGTTTGTTTTTAAGCATTTAAACTGTTAGACTTAAGGAATGAATTGAACATATAAAAATTGTATGTACTGTATTGCCATATAATTTGATGCTAACAAGCAAACATTAATTAACTGACAAACCATTCATATACTGTAATAGTGAATAAATATTATTGATTATTATAAATTATAAAATATTTAAATGTGTTGGGCTTCAATTGTATAGAAAAACTACTGTAAGTATATGTATCAGGCAACAATTATTATGTTTTATGTTATTATTTTAATTTTATGTGTCCAGCTTATAACTTGTAGTAGTACAAAAATAGTATAAAATAATTAACTATATTATCTATAAACACTGTATTTGTTTTAGTAATATTATAATTGTAACAAATTTATGTATTTCAAATGTAGTTAAATTAAATGTAACTATCAAATAATATAATTTATGTTTTACAATTCATCTTTTACAATTAAATGTTTAAATTTTTGTTTATAAATTGGATTTCGTTTAAAGTGAAACTTTGGATAATGATTCACAGTATATGTTTTTTGTTATAAAATTATAAACTCATTTAGTATGTTTGCCAAGCATTTAATTCAGTAAAAATACAGTATAATCAAGGTGCACTATTATTTTCATATCATTCAATTCATTAAATGCAATTATTTTCATAAGTATAAATAAATATGTTATCAGATTTGGCACCCATAGATTGGCTCGAGTGTGCCATGTAGGTTATTGTCGGTAGAATAGCTCAAGTAATATAATTATTTAGATATACTGTATACTAACATAGTTTGGATCATGTATTAATATCAATTTTAAAATATAATATATCGTAACGTTATTATAAATAGTTTACAGTACGTTATTTCATATAACACACACTATATGAGATATCACCAAATGTGTAATTATAAGTTAGTTACTATAGTAATAATTAAAAACTATTTACAAATTGCAGCATTTTATTTTAATATAAAGTATTGAGTATAACTAATATTCCTGGTACAGTTTGTTATTTGTTGATGGTATGATTTAGTTTCTATAGTAATTTAGTTTAAAGTAAATGCAAAGTGAATTAACAAAAATATAATGTATTGCCATATTGAGATAAAAAGTTGTATTTCTCTAATAAATTTATTCTAGATAAATTTGAAATATACAATTGATTTACTAAATATATTTATTTATTAATCAATTATATTATGATCAGTTTAACTATAGTTGCAAAGAAAATGTATTATTTTATAAATGTTAATTTTAAAAACAATATTTATTAGTTTTGAAAGTATTTTGTTTCTTAATATTATGTTACGAGGGCTTTGAGATAACCGCAGATTTCCTACACTATCCCTATGTCTATAGGTTTGATATCAAACCCTCTGAGGGCTTGGATTTACCCCCGATTAGATTTATTCGATCGTACAAAATGTGGCATACAAACTAACCTACGACAATTACTTTAGAGATTATTGAATCGAATCATTTGGTCAGCAAAAAATTAATGTCAATAATTTGTCATCAGTTGATAGCTATTGTCACGATCCAGATGATTTAGACAAAATACTATCCAGGACTGTTTATTTGAACGACGTGATAAATAATCATGTTGGCAAGCGTTATTCAAAATACTTCGCACATATATTAGATTTTTATAATCCTGGTACAAATATGAGAATTACTTTTCATTCAGCGATTTATTCATATAATGGTCAGGTAGATTCCATTGAATCAAAATTTACTGGTTTTAATGAAACAATTATTTTGTCGAAAACCATATTTCAATTGTTACGTAAACTTCACGGAAACTGTAGTTCGTATGATGGCTCGCGTGCCGGCGATCGACCCTTCCGTGCCGTTAGTCACGGGAATTGTATGCGACGGTGTGTTCGCTATTATTACCGTAAAGTAGATAAAACTAATTCAATGGGATGTCAGTCGTTGTTAATTGATAACTATTTACATGAATTAGATTTTTATGAAAATCTATCGGGAAATTCGTGTTTTTATTTATATTTAGGAGACAATATTTACGACACAAATTTGACAATTACTGCGAAATGTGCGAAATATTGTCCGAAAGACTGTCTGAGAGTTGAGTACAAGTCTCGAGTCGTGTCGAGTGATTCATATATTGGGAACGATTTGTGGCATAACTTGAGTTTAGAGACTAGACTGACAGCCAAGTCATTGGTTTGGGAATGGAGTCAACCCGTGTTTGTCTATCGGAGGAACCGTTGCTGTCGTTCACCGACTATATGTCATATACTGGAGGACTGTTTGGTCTGTGGTTTGGCACTAATGGCAAAGACTTCATCATTTGGTTCATTCATAAAATGCGTTTCNTGGTTTGGCACTAATGGCAAAGACTTCATCATTTGGTTCATTCATAAAATGCGTTTCATATGGATATGGTTTAAAAATAAATACCACCAATACTTTCCTGATAATCACGTGCATATTATTCCCCACATTTAAATTGAGTTTTAAAAATTAGTAATTTTTAATAAATTGATATTCATTTATACTAATGTTTAAGTAACTATTGAGTGCACTGCATTAGCTTGTTATAAAGTATTATATTATGTTTTTTCGTATTTTCGTATTTTATGTATTATATGTATTATAAAATCTCGTTATTTATAAAAAGTAAAAATAATTAATTTGTAAATCTATATATTGTATTGTATTATACAAAGCTAAAATAATAGATAATAGATTTATTATTTAATGCCATTTTGGGTTTATATTATCAATATTACAGTATATGACATGTACAGCGTTGTTACTAAACATCGAACCCATTTGAGGGGCTTGCTATTTGGACACCCTGTATTATATTTTTTGAAATTCTTTCATAAACATAAACTGGAATAGTTAGATTTTTGTTTGGTATACAACAACCCAATATATATAAGCCATATATTTTTAAATTTAAATTTGACATTTTTTGGCTATAACTCTAAAATTATTTAAAATTTGACAAATATTACAAACTGTAACATTGTCCAGTAAAATCAATAAAATGTGCATAGCTCAAAATATAGCCGGGAACTTAAGGGTCGTGTAAGGGGTGTTAAGTAGGGGTCGCGTCGATCGGCTTATTTGATTCGTTGGTAAACCCCCAAAAAAGCCTTACAGGCGGGGCACCGGTGCTCAATGTCCTTGCAGTCGGCTACGCAAAACGGGATTAGACAACAGCCTAACCAACACCCGAACACAAAAAGGGCGCCCGATATTAACCACGTGAGTAGTCCCGGAGCCGCGTCGGTCTCAGTCATCACTTGAGCCCCGCAGTGACTACACGTCACGTGCATGGGTTGAGGTCCGAACGCTGTCGGAACGTAAGTCACTATGACCTGTTGCACGCCTGACATATGCCCGGCCGATGGGGGCATTGGTTGGTCGTACTTTGGTGGTGGGTCCATTACTGTATATAATTTGAGTTATGACTACAAAAAATTAAATTTATTAAAAGGATGTGGCACATAATACTTATATATTATTCTAATAATTATAGTAATTATTTTCACTTGTTATTATTTAAAACAATAATGGTATAAATAGTAGTTAGCAAGTATTGTAGTATTAATTTTTAATAATATGATTAACACTCGGAAATAAAATTAATATAATACAATTTAATAATTACTTACATTTTTTAGTCACAATATGTTACTGTCGTAAAACTGTTAATACTCGCAGATTTTATATAAGATATATAATCCTTGTCATGACACAGTGTCATAATCGTGGTGAAATTTATGTGGTAACTAAGCGCGCAAGTCGTTAAACTTTGTATTGTGTGAATCAGTTTTATAAATAATTTTTTATCTTAAGTAAATAATAATGTTACACAACAAGTAAAACTAGTATATTATTAAGTTTGCTAAATAATATTATAGCTACAGTATAAGGGAAATTATAAATAATTAATATTAAATTATCCATTTATTCACCAGAATCATAATCATTTTTAATTTAACAAACATTATTATTTTCACATAAAAATTAATGTAATATATTAATGTATATATATATATTTATTTATTTAACAATGCATAAAGAATAATTATTAACTCGTTATAATAAACATCTTAATTTACCTAAATAAACCACATAGAGTTAACTGTTATTAATATAATTTATTACTTATTACATGTACAGTAAATACAGTATCATCAAATCAGCAACTAGGTCACCATAAGCAATTTATGGCCATTGTCTATGGCACAATAAACATCTAATATATACTTGCTCTTGGTTTAAATATCTTTTTTCGTGTTCACAATTAACATTATCATCGGCATAAATTGTCGTTGACCACAGTATACCATTTATGATTCTTATTGTGTTAAACGTGCATTTGTGCTGTAAAGTACCGAGTATGGACAAAAATTATTAACAAACCTAGAACATATTCAATCAATATGTTCATCGTGGGTCAATACATATTTTAAACAAGATAATGAAATATATTTTTGTGGCTATTATACTGATGGTAAGATCGAGTGCCACGAAAAAGAGCCTGTTCATTTAGAATTAGACAATGGGTTCGAAAAACTTGTACAAATAAACTCGCATAACTATTTTGATTTTGTTATTGGCGTGGACAATAACAAGGTTTATAAGATTGTGGATAAAAATGTTTACGAAACTAAACATTTAGATGTAAATGATTATTATGCTAAAACCATTCAAATTACGTACGAAACAACTTTTAATGATCAAGGTAATTTCATAATTATTAAATGATCAATTCTCAAATATTTTTTATATATATCATAGCTAGGTAATAAAACTCTAAAGGATAAAATAGTTATATAAATAAAATTAGTAATTGTGCTAGCTATTCATACAGTATTTTGTACGTCTATTCTATAGAGATTAAATAAATTACTTATACAATTTAATTTAAAACTAAACAGCTCCTATAATAGTGTAAAATAGTACTGAAAATACATTAAATTTTAATTAAATATTTTCACCTAGTTGCAACAATTTCGAGTCACAAGTCAACTGAAAACCATTTTAAAAATCTATTCAGAATATTGCCGGAAATTGGTTCGGGAAGCTTTGGCACTAAATTAATAAAAGTAAAGCATATATTAGACGATCAGTTATATGCCGTCAAAAAAATTAAGTTTCAAGGTAAAACAAAATATCGAATGCATTACTGCAAAACAAGGCTTTCAATTTTAACTAAAATATCTAATTTTATATTTTAGGTATTAACGATGAAAATTATCAATGTGCTTCAAATGAAATAAAAATCTTAGCAAAAGTTGATTCAAAATATATTGTCGAGTATTTCGATTCGTGGATCGAAAGCAAACACTTCTACATTCAGTTGGAGTTCTGTTCACAGAATTTGCGGAATATTCTTGAAGTGAAACCACAAGCGTTTGGTCGCAAACGGGGAGTTCCCATGGATTGTGTCGAGTATTTCATTTCGTGTGAAATATTCCGTCAGATCTTGGAA